AAAAATTTTACGCGATTATTGTCTCATCATGACTAATTATTTGGCACAAAATTTGGTTAAAAATTCGAGATCCAGAAAAGGAGCGATTTTTGCGGTGGCTCTTTCGATCGTTTCGATATTTAAAAAAATGATGATTACGTGACATTTGATGTTTTAAGTAAAAAGAAGAAAATAGAGTCCTTTATATATCCATAGTGTTTATGTTTTTTTCTTTACTTTGATACATAAGTTCAGATTAGCCAGCTAAATTTACCAAGTGTTTCGCGAGATTCCGACTAATTTGATCTAGTGTGTCCAAGCGAGCTTTATGCGAGCGATATTTTAGTCGGTCTAATAGGCGACGTGCGCATTTACACGAGCTGGGCCTCTTCCGAATCTACACAATCGAGCGCTGTCCGCCCACAGTATACTGGTGGCTGGGTTGGGGAAACGCAACCAATGGAACACGCAAGCTCTATATTATCGCGATCGTCGTACGGTTGCGCGACCAATTCCGATCGGCCGATCCCGACCTGCAGGCCCGACCGACGTGACGGCCGCGAAATAATTTACGGATAATGAGGACGCTACGTGGTGCCCGGTCAGACTTCCCGCCAGCGTGGTACCCAGTTAACCGACTGATTGCGAACGGCCGACCGGACGCGGACGTGATCGACCGCGAAACGTGCTGAAAAATTACCCCCTCCTCGAAGTGATCCCGCCGAGATAATATCGTGGCCATTACCGCGAGTGCTCTCTATTTGAGTCGTTTCTTCTTATTAACTCGGGCAATTTAACGTACGTATGATCGTATTTCTAAGAATCATTGGATATATCGCTCGGATATTCGGATTAATGGTAAAAAGCATTTTCCTTTCCTCAAACAATACGAATACGCACGAACGTATACCCGAAAATACTCGTCGTTACGTATCACAAGCCTTTTTCTACTTACGGAAATTTCGCAGTAGTAAAAAGGAAATTTGTGTCCGGCTTCAGTAGAAGAAGCCGACGCGTAGCGTCCAAAATTATGATACATGTATTAGAGGTGTGCGAATAGTTCGAATTCGAATCGAATCGAATCGAATAACAGTGCAGGATTCGATTCGAGTTCGTTTTCGAATTTGTAAGATTCGAAATCGAATAGTTCGAGAATTTCGAATCAACAACGTTTCGATTTCGAATCGATCGCCTATTTTATTTGCTTCATTTATATCTCCCGCGCGATCAATTATTTTTATCCAATAAATAAGTATTCTTGATGTATGTAACGTACCCATGTAGATTAATATAAAAAATATTCGAAAGCATTCAAACTATTCGTGTACACACATATTATTAATTACATATTTTCTAGTTCAAAATGTCACATAAGATCATGATCCTTTATAGTGAGATGTAGATCGAAAACAGGTCTTCAGTTTGTTTAAATCATTGCGTAAAATAATATAATTTATAAATTTTCATATTACGTTCAAATTAACATGTAATGTAAATCTGAGAAAATTTGATTCAGATTCGATTCATATTCAAATTAAAGAGATTTGATTCGATTCGATTCGAAGTGAAAATTTCAGATTTGATTCAATTCGATTTCGAACATGTTATCAAAAATTCGATTCGATTCGATTCGACCATGCAAATACTTGATTCGCACACCTCTAACATGTATACGCATACTTTGCATGAGAATTTGTTCAATTGCTCTAATAAAGGATAACTTTCACAAATAAATTATGAAATTTTAACAATTTTCAAATGCTTGTTTTTTAAATATCATTATTATTAAATATTATATATTATTATAAAACATTATTTTTTAAATATTATTCGATTTTTCAAATCGATATTTTTAAAATGACATAAACATGAACGCAGGGAAATCTGAGTGATTAATTTTCACTACAAGAGCATATAAAAATGGTAATAAGGATATAAAGGAAACATATTACTGTGTAGTTTAACCAGAAGCTATCCGGGGTGCAGAAAGTGACAATAACCGCGTAAGATGCGAACGTTTACCGCTATCCTCAAGAGCGGGCCGGATGCTGTAAAACGTTTATGCATACGCCTTATATCTCATATTTCTCCGCAAACAACCGGCTACTGGAATCTGATATGGCCTGAGATAAAAGGTTATTATCGAAAAAGTATACAAGTGACGGGAAATTGCTTCACGTAGACAATTTATTTTATAACAGTCAAATGTATCGCTTATTTGATCACAAATTACAAACGCGCCATTTTTGAGGGCAAGATTACTGTAAAGAAATTTACTCGCGAAACTAAATCATATTATTTTATATAAAGCACAGAATTAATTATTTTGTTACTTTACATGTTTTAGAATGTAAAAGTCATAGCTATAATTTAAAAAATATATATAACGCATAGTACAAATTTTAATAAAAAATAAAAAAAAGAATAAATTAAATAAAAATCATTTACTTTCCAAATAAATTAGTATTTTGAATATTTGACATTATAATTAATAAATAAGATAAAATATCTATTGTGTTAAAATAGTTATTTGGCAATAATTTTAATAATGTCTCAGGTGTCTCTCTCTATCTTGCTGTTTCTCTCTGTCTTTCTACAATATACGATGCTGCAGAACCCAATACGATCGAAGCTGTATTATAGCGATGGCATCGCGCGGCAAGAGAATCTTATTAGAAACTCCAGGCAGCTTGATATCGATTCCGCATCAATTTGCATTCATGATGATCCGGGAGAAACTATTCGACCGCTTGTTACCTGCTCATCGCGGGGCTGCATCGCGGGTGGGTCGGGGGGAGGGTGCGCGGATACCAGTCGCGGGGAAAATTGTCAATAACATCTATTACTGTCATGACGTCTTTATTACCGTCACCGTCTTCTCACGCTCACCCCGATTCTGTCGTCGAGACGACAACAGAGATAATCTTGACACATAAAATAGCTCCCTTCTTGCAAGATATCTCCAAAGTGCGCACAATGTGCTTCTAACTATTTGTTCTGTATATCTTAACATAATAATAACTATATTCATACGTCATCGATTCACGCGGTGGAGAGTTTACAGATTCAGAATCCGCGATACAATTTACGTCGAGTAGCCATGATTTTATTCTAAACATTTGTTTCAGAATTTTTTTTACAAAAAGAAAGCGCAACATTACATAAAGAAAAGGTTGAATGTACTTTATAAAAAAAAAACTATAAGAGAATCACGTTTAATATCATAAATTTAACAAGATTTAAATAACAGAAAAACTTTAAGAGAGATCTTATTTCCACTTTAAACTCCTATTAAGTTTATAGTAGCATTCTTTTCTAATGAACATATAATTAATTCTGTGGCCTTTATATCGTTTATTTCATTATTAAAATACTGTTGTTCCTTAACGATCTCATTTGTAACTCGGATTACTTAAAATCTCTAAGTGCACGGCTGCCCGAGTTCATCCAAGCTTAATAGTAGAACATTAAAAAAAAATATTGTAACCCATTGTCGTTTAAAAAAAATGTCGTGATTTGAATTTTTCGTTTCGCGTATGTAGTAGTCGAAATAACATCGAATGTCGCGTGAATCCTATCGTTCGGTACAGATTGGGGTATGAAAAATTTCTTCCCTCGAGAAAAACTCTTGTACGTCAAGACGAAATACTTACCTCGTGGCTTCGCGGCGGCGGACGAGGATGCACGAGTACGTATATTATGTATAGCATTCGCACGTTCGCGCGCATACGAGAATGATCTAGGTCGACGTTATCGGCCGCCTTTTCAGCTCCCGGCGATGGCCGCGTTGAGAGCATAGTATATACGAGAGCCGCGTGCCGCTGAGTTATCGCGCGTTTGTCGAGGAGATGTACGCGTGTACACAGTACCGTACCGCGGGAAGGGGGACGAGGGGAAGGCGAATCTCGCGTGTGACGTTTGGCGAAACGTATCTCGGGGAAAATATTGCATTCCGCTGCCAATTGTCTACTTTTCGGTATGCGTTTACAATCTCTCCCGCGGAGAAATTCGCGATATTGAACAGAGGCCCGCAGCGGTTTGCCGCGCGTATGCCAACTCATGGTTGCGTAATGTTTTTGTATCCGAATAAATGCTACTCTGATGACTATCGATCACGGTCGCAAAACCAAAGTGAATGCGGAAAGGAACGTCCATGGTATTATATTCTATACATTTACACTAGGAATATCTTTTTCTCTATATATTTGATTCCTGTATTTCTATTTCAATTATACATTTTATATTTCCAACACTAATATGTAAGCGAATTGTCAATAAATATTATAATATTTATATACGTATATATACCCAGCAAACACAAATTATAACTGCAACATTGTAATATTTCTGCAATATAAGCTGAAATATTACAATGTTGCGCTGCAACATTGCAGTTATAGTCTGTGTTTTCTGGGTATATACATTTTTTTTAAATTTATTATCATTATTGTATGTTAGTATTTATGTCATTTTTGTCCGAGAGTCTAAATTAAATTTAAACATTAATTGCAGCTGATTACTCTCTAAATCTGAATTAGTGAAAAATTTTTGAAAAGTCAACTAATTAAGTCAGTAGCTATAACATAATCTAACTTAACGCCTTGCATTGCTATAATAAATAAGTGAAACAGAGCCAAATCCGCTGTGCAATTAGCGAGATCAGCGAAGTCTGTCTAATTTGTCAATGATTATAGGGATTATTCATTTATTTATTAGTAATTTTCGAGAGTCAATGAAGTTAAATTTCACTGATTACCAATGGCATACTGGGACCGGTGCATTCAATGAATAACCATTGATGATCAGTGACTGTGCACTGATTCAGAGTTAGAGAGTGAATAAATAGAGAGTAATGTGAATAAGCAATAGAGATAAATAGAGGAATTGGCATTTGAAACTGCATCGGTGCAGTTGCTTATCGCTTCAATTAGTCTTTCCGGATTAGCTATAAATGGAATGCATGTCCAGTAAGGAAGATCGTGTGCAACGTACAATAGTTTAGAGATTACACCATTACTCACCGGTGAAGAACGATGCATATCCTCATTTCCGAGACGCGAAGTGGACTCTCATTTCCCGAAGAAGATTGCAGATCGACTCGACCATTGTCAACGGACAATACCCGACCATGGGACGATATAAGGAAGAGCACCGTCGTCGACCTGTACATAGTGACGAGCCGTATTTATTGCCGGTCATAGTAATAGCGGGTTACGCGTCTCTGCGAGAGACGCTCACCGGACGAATGGGCGCGGAAGGGACGAGGGAGAGACGGCCACGACGATGATGTCGCGAGGGCGAAGGAGGGGAGGAAGGGGAGAGCGCGATATATTTTCGGCGGCGCGGAGGGCGCCACGGCCTATCTCGCGGAAATGGTATTTTCGAGGCCCGACGTTCCCGGAAAGCAATAATACCGAAAGCAGTTTTAATAAAGGCTCAGCCACGATATATCGCGGCCATGCCTCACACTCCCATCTGTCCGCCTCCACCGCGTACATCGCCATACCCTCCCCCCCCCCTCCTCCCTGCGCCGTGCGTTTCTATCGTCCATTCTTCCGCAACCCCCTCAGCAACCCCTTTCATTCCGGGACGATCGTGTGTCGGGACACTGCCCTCCCCCCCCCCTTCTTTCCTCTCAATCGCAACCCCGTTCTTCTTCTCCATGTCGCTCTATCGATACGTGAATATTTTTTCCACGATTCCTTTTTCTCCCTTTTTCTCCTCCCTCCCTCCCCCCCTCTCCCCCTCCCCGCCTCTCACTCTTTCTCTCTTCGCGCGCGCATGCAATCGTATCAGATTACGGGCGCGTTTGCGTTAAGGGGGCGATATTTCTCTACGGACCCGCTTCATTATTTTAACGAACGCGATCCAATCGCCCGCCGCGATCCATTTCGATCCCGCGCGCGCGTCTCCACCTGAGACGCCTCTATCGCAACGATAACGCATAGCCCTTAGCTATAATAGATGTCATTGAGGTGTTCTCGAGTTCTTATAGAGGGATATAAAGTTAAAAGATAAAGAAAAAAAAAGATATAAAATTATAAGTGTTAGAAGAACGACTATCTGCGAATTGTCGCTCGACAGACGGTAAAAATAAAAATTAATTAACCGACGGAAATTTCGTTATCTCTTTTCACACTCGACGCTCGACTCGGTTAAATAACTTAATATTCAATGTCAGATATCTTTGTAATGACCTTAATATTTTGACAACGAAGTAATCGTTATTTTGCTCCACTTGGCTTTCGAAATGTATTTATAACATTCAATTCAGTAATTTCTTTCCACTTTCTCTTTATCGAATTAATAAGGCGAGATTAAACGAGAACAAATACAGAGGTTCAAATTAACCTTTTGTCAGTTTAAATCCACTTTAAATTGAATTACATTCCAGTCATTTGTATACACACGTTCGTTAAAATTAGTTAATTGGTAATGGAATTGGCAACGATTTTAATAGCAAATTGTTATAATGTCTTGACATTTAGATAATCATTCTGCTCGATTTAGCTTCTAGTATCTGTGCAACCCAATTGCACAATTGGTTTCAATCCGCGCGTTTTCGCTCCTATAGTGCCGAAGTAATAACGCGAGACTAGCTGCGGGGGCTTCAACGGAATGAAGGATTAGTTTCGTGTCTCTCGCCGTGCGGAGCGAGGATCTGCATTAAGTGCTTAAAAAAAACCGAAAAAGAAAAGAAGAACAAAAATTAATCCCCGTAAAGTCAGTCCGGAGAAAAAAAGGGCGCACGCAGGAAAACCGTGGGATTAAACTGCCGGAAGATATACTGCGTAGTCGTCGTTACAGACGTAATGGCGAGGCTCGAGAGTTCAGCGGAACCGCGTAATAACTTTTTTACAGTAAACGGAAACGTTACGACTTTGTGTGACGACGCGACCATCGTCCCACGTATTATATAAAGATGATACACATGCAGAAAAAAAAACAGAGTGCAAAAATTCCGGAAATATAGAAAATACGTAGAAAATATCTCCGAAGCGCGTGTAAATCATTTTTCGCTCAAAGAAATTCTATCGCAATTCCGTCATAAAAATTTTTTTCAGCGCAGAAGTAAATCTATTTTACATCCTAAAATCTAAATAAAAAGAGGGAAAAATAAATTTAAAAATTCCAAAATTCGTATAGGACCACTCTATTTTACCGTAACGCAAATACGAGAGCTTCAGTTATCAATTAGCGGTTCACCACTAAATACCACTACTCCGAAGTGCTGAATAAGTATCGCGCTAATCGGCTTAAGGGGGCGAACACTATATACCGCAACGACAATATCACAAATTACTCCGCGACGCGATTCCTCTCCCTCCCCTCCCCCCCTTCCCCCCGTCACTTTCTCCGGCGCGAACCCCTTCGGCCACGCTGCTCCTTAATTTCCTGTTCGCCTGCATATTTGTATACAAACGACTCCGTCGGATCCGTACTCTGTACCAGGGGGCGAGGAGCGTCTCCACGCCGGCGACCCGCCCGCCGATAACGACGCCGATGCTTGTTCGCCATCACCGCGCCGGGGAGACCTGCCGCCGGCACCGACGCCCTCGGATCTAAATTGGAATCTGTCCGACTCCGGCAGCGGCAGTACCACTCTTCTCCGCGCAGGAAGAGCGCCTCGAAAGGTCCGCGCGCGATTGCTACGTTGGACCGCCTCGTGACGAGAGGAGCGACACCGACCCAACGTAATACTTCTCGCAAGGGACAACTCTATAAAAAAAAAAAGCTCTAAAAATGATAGTGACACTAACGAGAAATGGACTGCTTAGGAGTAGTACGGTTAAAAATAGACTTCTTTCCGACATAAAGCTCAGGAATACTCAGGAAATATATAGTAGATAATAGCTCTCGAAAAGAGTCGTAAGTAAAATATAGCTAAATGTAATTGTTTGACTCTCTGTTGAGAAAATATAATTTTATAGAAAAATTTCTACTAAATACAACATAAAATGTTTCTTGAGTACTGTCTAATATTTTAGAAATTTATTTTGAGGTCACTTTATACAGACAAGTTTATATAACAGATCTCAGAGATATCAAAGATATAATATTAAAAATTCTTTAAAATTATTTTAACAATTCGTTTTTCTTAACAGCTCTTAAATGAAAGGAAGTTTAAAAAATTAACTTTTCAACTTTTTTCAAAGTATTGATATTAAATTTTAGATAAATATATTTCTAAAACAAATATTTTAAGACCATTATGTTCACATAAGTGTTTTTTTTTTCTAAAATAATATCAAATTAACTCATAAAATATTCATGAAACATCCTGTATATTACTTTTCATTTTAATCAGACATCTGTTGATCATTATATCTTCATCGATACCTGAATTATTGTCTCGGGAATATTTTTAATTGTGCGCAAGAAAATCGCAGCCCCGTATATATAGCTGCGTGTGTCGATTTGATGAAGCTCAGTGACTTGTACGGGTTATACGAGCGCGAAATATCGCGCGAATCATTCCCGTATCGCCGTCCGCGTGACGGGCAACGATGTTTCGACTATTGATACCGGGTGCGACGCGCGATGCTGCAGTCAGCCGTCGCTCGGTTGCGTCGCAAAACTCGATCCTGCCGGGGCTTTTTTACGATGTAGGGAGGATGGAGACGTAAAACGCTGATATTTCCGCGATCGTGACGGCAGCAGCGAGAGCGCGGGCTCACGGCCGGGAATTCGGCTGATTTATCGAGGTGACAACGCGGTACATGGTCCTGAAAACATCGACTTTACGATGCGCGCGCACCATATCGTTGGTCCATGATTGGAAAAGATTGCGCCGTTATTTCATTCGTTATCCGCGTATCGAGCGAGCGGCGCGGCGCTTGCCCGCTTTAATTCGCTTTCGCTTTCTAATTATTTTAGGCCGCGCGTTTCTGATTTCTGCCACCGCGTTGCCACTGGATTTCCATCCGTACGATAACTTTCATGTTGCATCGTTAATTAAAAAAAAAAAAAGCGTTTATTTATTTTCAGCCAGACATTTCTGATATACCTGATGAACCAGGACGATATTTCTTGTGAAATGCAAAAATGCACGTTTAAGCAGCAAGAACGTTAACCTGTTGCAAAGGGGGGTTTACGGTGTTGCTTTAAAAAAAGTTAATAAGTTACTAAGTTTGGAGCGAGGCTTCATTTCCAGCCGCAAAAATGTGAAGTACGCGCTCGTGTAATCCGCCTAAAATTCAATTTTCCACGGAGGCGCTTTTCCTTTAGAATCGCAGCCGCGTAATAACGGAGTAAGGATCCAGACGGTATAACCGTTTCCTTACCTCGTAACGGGGATTTCTACGCGGGTAACGCGTAAAATACGTAACGTATCTACGGGAGATCTCGGTGGAAAAACAATCCGTTCGATAATAGTAACATACCATATATTGTCGTATTGTCGAGAGGATTGTCATGGTGTCATCTTTGTTCGTTTCACAAAGAGCGATGCTTTAATAAAAGTTTCAAAATAACGAAGCTCAATTGTATGAAGCGTTATTGAATGCAGCGCAATATTTTTCATTGCATCGCGATTCTGCCTTTTTCTGCATGAAATCGTCACGAATTTCCGCGTTGCAGAAACGCCGATTGCGCTGGAATTACATGGTGGCATCAATTGGCAATATTGGCATTGGAAATGATATCTTGCAAACTCTTAATTTTCCCAATTCTCTCAGAGCAACGCGAATTAACTCGAGTGCTCGGGTGGTAAACTATACACGAGCCGTATTCATGTTATTTCGCAAGCAGCTGCAAGTCGTTGACGAATTTGCCACGACAGTTTTATATAATGCAGATTGCGGCGAGGGAAACTCGCGTGCACTCCGTTACGCGACCGTTCTGGCTGACCATTTTGCTGGGGGACCGAGGCGCGGCCACTGCGTAATTAACTCGACTCGCCCGTGCCACGACTAATGTTATTTTATCGGCGAGGAAAGAAAAGGCGCCCGCGGGGTTCCTCTTTCTTTATACGGGCGCATTCTCGACTCGGATGTGCCATGGTTTCTTTCCTTGCCTTTCACATTCTTCGGCTTCCCTTCCTTCATCGGCTTCACGCTCTTGGTAGCGTCGGCAAATCTTTCTCAATTTCTTCGGAATCCTTTACCCGGCAGAACGAGATTGGAGCAAGGTGGGGTAGGGGAAGGCGGAAAATGAGGAGCGC